AAGAAGCACACTTTCTTCTTTTCGTCTTGATCTCCTTTGCTTTCCTCCATGTTTTTAAAATAACAGTCTTTTTCCAAATTATTAGATTTCTTACATGTCCCATACGGATAGCACACTTCTTGAGTCTCGTCTTTTCTTCCTAATCCTAGAAATTTTTCTGATTTTTATCCTAATTCTAATCACAACTAAAGTATTTAATTTCTTTGTTACCTTTTTGGTTTTTCCAACATGCACTTGCAATATGTATGCTGTAGTTACATTTGAAATACCTCTTCTCTTGAGCTTTACAGGCTATAGGTCATTTTGATGATCTTGCTTTCTTGACAATCACCTGAGTTGTGAGCTTATATATTTTCCTTTCTTCTTTCTGCATTAATCCCACATAGTTGCAAATACACGATCTAACAATGTGCATAAGATTTTAGTTATAAACATTGTTTATTATATTTTACATCCTAATGAATGTAATTTGAAAACTTACCTGTCAGCCATGCAGTGTGGGTTACTATATCATGTTTTGCAGGTTTGTATCCTTCTCATAGATATTGCTTAACTTTAACCATATCTCATAACTTGATATACAGGTTATCAAGTAATAATACCTTTCCTACGATTGAAACTATCAAATTTTGTAATTATACACTGTTAACCAATCTTGTTTGCAGTTTCCTACATTTCTTAGTTCTTTTATTATATATCAATTCAAACCTTAAGACCATACCGTGAATGCCACTCTAAATTTTCAAATATGATATCCATCTTGATCCTTTCATCTATTGATACTTCCAATTTTCTTCTCGAATTTTGTTTTCCGCATTCAAACACGTGGCGTACATTCTGTTGGCAGTCTATAACCTGTTGATTTATTTTTTTACTTAAAACATGCATAATCCACACACATTCTACCTTACATTACTCACCCGAGGTTTCCTTTTGTTTTCATCGCTGCCACAATTTCATATCATTCTCTCCAGTTATAGATTAATTCACCGTTTACAGTCGAAAATATCCATCGCACAATTATCGTTCAATAATAGCATGTGTCAGAAGCATATATCCAAAGTTGGTAACCGATTCAAATTCAAGCGCCTTCGATCAGCGACATCTATGAGATTACACTGGAACCTTGAACCGATGTTGCTTGAATTTTCATACAGTACTAGAAAATTAACAAATTGCTCAATTTCTGGGTTTAATTTATGAACTTTTATAATTGAATTGTAAAGGCAGATCCTTCGAGAATTTTCACATATAACTTTTGATATGAATTTGTCCCTAATTAATTAATTATTAATTATTATTCTACCAAATGTTTGAATTGTTGTCGAAGACGCCATTGGTTTTTTATTAATTACTATTTTCTGCGTAACCAATTTATGAACTTCATGCACGCATTATATAAACGATATCCTGGGGCATGTTCACATATCACTTTTGTTCACATTTTGTTTCTAGTTTTGCCTAGTATTAAATATTTTCATGGAAGATCGTGACGGTTGTCGTTACGAAATCATGGACGCCATTAGACGATAATTAATAACTAACAATTTAGAGTTAAATTCTTTACGAAAATTATATAGGAATGTAGCCTGAAGTTCCAGCTTTGCAATGAAATTATAAAAGTTCATAAATTAATTACAGAAATTGAGTAATTAATTAATTTTTCACTGCCGGAGCCCTTCTATCCTTTTCTATCCCCACTCTGTCCTTGTCTGTCACGTGACCAGGTTTAGACGACCTCCACGCCTATTCTATATTCCTATCACTTTCTTGATATTTGAGCCCAAATCATAGATGGCGCTGATCACAGGCGGTAAAATTGTTATTTATTCGAAAGTAGAAAATTAATAAATTTCCAAGTTTCTGTAATTAATTTATGAATATTTATAACTGCACAGTAAGGTTGGACTTATAGGCAACATTCTTATACAATATTTAATTTATTAATTAATACTTACACGAGGGATAGGTTTATATTTCCTGTGTCTAATGATTATTTAAATTTTCGTTTTCCTTCTGTAGTAGATAGGATTGCTATAGAAAACTGTTTTTCTTACATAATATTCTTATTATTTTATAATAATTATATACTAGCATAAGAAAGCGTAAAAAATAAATTTTTTTATTAAGAAATTTTATTTACAATGTTTCCATAGGCGAAAAATTAATACAAAATAGAAAATAGATAGAAAAAAACTATTGACTATGGGACGGGAATCGAACCCCGGTCATACAGCGTAAGAATTCTCGACTGTCGCTGATAAACTAGAACTTCACTCGAAAATTGCTGGAAATAAATATATAATTAAACTTGTATTAGAACTTTAATCGTAAATATCTAAAAAATTATTGAGTAGTTGCGGCTATAATGATATATATTTTTGAACTGCATGACAAAATCTATAAACCTGTAAAGTTTCAACTAAATCGGTAACCCAAAGGACTTGCATTCTCCCTGTTAGATAAATATTTTGATTTCTTTTACGAAAATTTTATCACCGTATTTCATGACTAAAGATAAGAAAACGAGATAATAAATGAATAAATGAGTAAATGTGTAAACGAATTAATGAAAAATATACAAGCGAATAAATAAGTAAACAAGTAAATGAATAGGCGAATAAATGAGTACGAGAATAAATATATAAATTAATAAATGAAGAAGAAAAGAAAGATTTGTAATAACGAAATTACAATTGTTTAGAGTCAAATTAGAGAACTTCGTGGAGATCGATAACATGGATATAGATCTATACCCCCATAAACGCGAAGACAAATGGTACCAAAATGCCAGGGACTGTGTACTCTTGCACAAACACATAATCGAGTCAGTATCATCAGTCTTCACAAGCTACTTTCTATTCTAGCCCCTTGACGTTTCTTTGTTTTTAAGTATTATCAATGAAATAAAAATGTCCATCTTTCCATCTCACTCCCACTAACGAAGATTCGCACAAATACTCGAGGATGCAAATACAACGTCTTACTTGCTTCAGTTAGGATTTAACATGATCTGTGTAAGCTTCACGCAGTACCAGGTCTGTTTCTAGTTTGGATTAAGCTGATTTTATAATTCACGAATAATTGAACGTGTATTAGTTATTTCCTTTCTTTTTGTGTAACCAGGCGGTAGTGAATTTAACAGACACAGCTATCGTTATTAGATATGCATCAGTAACGATTTGTTTGTTGTGTGACCTTCTGTTTGTGAGTTGGCCTGGACAGCAGTTGTCCGATTCTACAGAACGTATCTTTGAATATACGTAAGAATTTTGTTTTCTCATTTTATTTATTATTTTATTTATTATTTTATCGTTATTTTCTTATATTTCATTACGTTATACCTAGTTTTCCTATTCTATATTTTCTGTTATTTTTTATCCATTTATTCTTAAATATTCAGAAAAATGTATATATTTCCAGAACAAATGGCAAATGGTGTCAGTCGTCGATACCTTGCAGGAAACTTTTGATGCTAATGTTATCGAAGAGCATAAAACCTATGAAATTAACAGCTTGCAATCTCTACACTTTGAATTTAGAGAGTTTCAGTGCGGTAAGATTTATTTTTTACCATCGCAACAAAATTTTTGTTTTTGTGTCATATACGATACATAGAACATATGAAAAATTAATTTCATTTCATATGTTTTGTCTATCACTAATGGTTTTACACCATTGTATTTTTATCCTTCACAAATTTTTTAATAAAACAAATAAGATGTACAGGAAATATATTGTATTGGTTTTTGCAAAAAATTATTAATTTTAATTATCTTTCAAGTTTATATTATACTGTGATTGTAACAGCTAATAAGGTATAATATGTATTAATAAGCGTAACAGAAACAAGTAATGCTAATCAAAATATTCCATAAAACATATGTTTAATTGTAATTAACTTTTCTTTCAAAAGAAGTTACAATTTTCTTGTTTTTTTTCTTTCTTTCATCAAATTCGTATTTTATTGTCATGATTAATGTTCTAAATTATTTAATCTCCAAGAATTAAAATTTGTATTACTGGTGCTATATTCAACAGTGTTAATTAATTGTTAATACATTACATACGTATAGTATTGTTATTTTCAGATATTTAAAATAGCTGAATTATTTAATACTTTTTATTGTCTATTATGTTTTTTCAAGGTTGCACGATCATCATTTTCGTACAGCATGGTTTTATACTCCCTTCAGTAATTATCGACTAACGAGTAATGATTGTTGATATTAGTAAAAAGGAAGAGAATATATGCATTTGTTACCATCAAGTAAGTCTATCTCAAGAATGAATAAATGTATACTCGAAATAAAAATAGTGCAACTGTTACTATTTTTTTCAAGCTTTCTCTTAATTACTACTTTTCTTTACTAGTTACTGTATTTCTTATAATTTTTCATTTTTTCCTTGATCAATTTTTAATTTGATTTTAGAGATTAAGTGAAGCGAAATTGCAACCACTCAAACATCGACAATTTTTCAGCCAAAATTTAGCGATCCTTTAATTTCGTAGTCGAGTGTATATCTTTCGCACGGTATTTATTTAACTTTGTATAACTACCTATGCATCGAATTATTTTCTGCTATGTTCTGTTTGAATTGTTTAATAATTTCTGCAAAATTCTGCAAATTTATTTATTCGCAAGTTTTATATTTTGTTGGTGATTAATATTCTTATACATTTTTCATAGCGTGCTTTATTTCTCAATTATTATCTGTTATTGACTCCATTTTTATATCTATAATTCCCATTTCAAAGATTTAACACACACGTGCGAGCAACAAAGGGGCACCAGTGTTACCATTTCTTCCCGACGTATTTTCAAATCTCACGTTCTAAGGGTGTAAAGGAAAGATGTGTTACGCGTTCGTCGAATCGTACCATACGCCTGATGCACCATATGGTTCTCGGGGGGCTGATTCTTTTTCGGGAAAAATGCACCGTAAATACCGAAAACGGCAACGCCGATCTATCACCTACTCGGCACGTGCCCCACCTCCCACCTGGGCTTAATTGATTTTCGTTCATGTATCTATCGAATAAGTCGTTCGAATGTCGATGAAAGCTTGTTAACGACTCGTCACAGTTTACGACGTCGCTCGTCTGAAAGCAATTTTAATCTTCGTAGGGTGAACTGAATCTAAATGGCGGCCCATGGGGTAGGGATCGGGATGTATGGGGAACTTGGGTCTTTGGTGACCTCGTGGAAAGGGGCTACCAGTTATATCTAATTGCATTTTAAAAATTTAGAAATTCGAAATAAATTAAGTTTTTGGAAGTTAAAATTAATGGAAGTTAAATTAATAAATATAGTGATCTTTGATATTCTATTATTTGTAAAGAGTCGTACTTTTGGTAAGTGTTATTCTTAATTGGAGTTAGAATGGAATTTAAATTTTTAAACTGGAGCGGAATGTAATTGTTTTAAATGCAAATTAATCCTGTTAAGAAATTTCTGTGTTGCTTTTAATTTTTACATCTTTAGGAATACAAATACGTATCTACCAATTTGTAGAAATTGGTACCAGGAAACAGTGTCTGTATTCACTTATTATTTTTTTACGTCATAAATCATTCTGCAATCGATTCGACATATATAAATAATACATTACTTGTACTACAGGTAGAAATTAGGTTCGAATCAAAAAAGAATAGTATTCCGTCCTTGGTATTGCGTGAAAGATACTGTTTATTATAGATTTATTCACTACAGAAGTCTGATTCGATAATCCTAACGCTAAAATATGATACCTAATTCTACCTAGAATTCATTATTCTTACCCCAAGTACCCATTTACGTTTCCATACCTCATCACCGTACCTGGCTACGTGAATTTTAGTTATCATCGACTTACTACCCAAGCGAGTCGTCAACGTACGTAAGCCGATTCTTTCAGCGATTATCAGGCTCTCGGGCAAATTACGTCCTTGCCGGGTTAACGGACTTGAATCCTCGGAAGGACTGAAGTACGTTCACGTCCGAGTGTTCCCGAGACAAGGTTTTTTCCTGTTGGTCGGCCCTCTTTATCCTCAAATCTGCCGCTGTACTCCAGGGTAACACCTTGCGGCTCCTTTCGTCATGCGCCCCAGTTGCTCGTTGGCGCAGGGCACGCGCCGTGCCAGGGGCCCGTGCCCCCTTAACAGGGCTAGATCCCGCTGCAAGATGGATATCTCTAATTGTCTCAAGGCGATTCGTCGACGACCGTTGCATTCCGATAATTTCCCCTCCGTATTTTCGCCCGTTTTCCCTGCGACTGATCCACGTACTTGATTAACTTAATCAATGGAACTTCATGAGATGGAATTTTCTTTTGGTCGATATATCATTACTTGGAATTATGTGCTCGTATAGTAGTGTCTATGATTTGAATATTATTTATTTCATAAATAGGTCGCGTGGATTGTTATGCACATATGGACTGAAATTTGATCCATGTAAGTATACCATTATTTTTTGTTTTCACTTCCTCCATGACTTCTTTTCATTTGCAGAGATGAGGAAGACACGCGTGTTATATGCACTTATTATATTTCCGTAGCTTCCATTATAAAGGCATCTGTCGTTTCATCGAAACAAGGCAGCGAGACTTGAACGACACAAAGGCCGAAAAATTGGAAATTGGAAATGAATTATCACCGTGGAATACATTAGCTCTGGATCAATGATTAAAATTTTATATAAAAAATACAAAAATTGGTTTATTTTTCGTGTTATTTGCAATCTGTAATTTAATCTTACCTGTACATTGCATTCCTTAATTTTCTTTCTTTAAACCATAATATAAACATAATTTCTATTTTTATGTAACATAAAAACGCAGTTGTAAATGTACGCAACTTGTATGTATACAAAAGTAGTTTTAAATTGTAATTGGTTTCAAAAAATTATTTTAAAAAACATTTTCAAGCTTTTGAAAATATTTTTATCTCATTGCATTTCCTGTCTATATGTTTCCTTCTTATAATCCTGAATTAGAATTATAAGAATTTGATGTGGTATTTATATATCTAACTTCAATTTCTAATTTGTATTTATAATAATATATATATTATTTATTTATCCAAATAATATTCGCATGAAAATAATAAAGACTGATAACAGACATCAAGGACAGAGTTATAACTTGTTTCATGAATATACTACTCACAAAAAGCTTACTATAAGAATAAAAATGTAATATGGAAATAAAAATTATTCAATCCAATCAAATTCAACAAATCAACAAATCAACAAATCATCAAAACTCAAAGAAGAAACTTCAGCTCAAACCAAAAGCAAGCACCCATTCAATCAGTGTCAACAAAGTCATCAAAATATAAAACTCAAAGAAGAATCTTCAGCTCAGACCAAAAGCAAACTTCAATTCAACCAGAATATCAACAAAGTTGTCAGAACTCAAAGCTCAGAAAATCTGAGACCAAAAGCAAGCACCAATCCAATCAACGCTCCAATTCTCCCCACTCATTGAAATCACCAGACTCCAAGTAACTTTCTCATCCGAACCTCTCTAATCTCATCAAGTCTAAATCACCAACACAAACTTAGACACATCGACACCGCACAAACCACTTTCTCTACCGCTCAAACGCTCCCTAAAATCCCCCTTTAAACCATCTTCGCAGATCGTGATATCGTCACGGGGAATTTAAATCAACAGGTACTCCCTTCCCGTTCGTCCGTTATCTAAATCAACAGGTACTCCTTCCCTCGGTTCTCCAGGAAGCGTTCAGCTTCTGCGTCGACGGATAAAGGGCCCCGGCACAGCAAAGGAAAAACGACCAAGCGACTGCGATAGCGGTGGTGGCTTTCTGCGGGGTAAAGTGGCGAAGACGAGTGAGAGGGTAGACGCAGAAGGAGCCAGAACGGGGCCCACCAGGTGCACCTACAGAATGGACATGAAACGAAGTGGGAACCATATGTTGATACACTGAAGGACGCCGCGGCACGCGCCACACTCAAACTCGAGCCTTTAAGCCGCGAGGACCGCTGACTCCTCTCTAACTTGCTATCGCTGCTGTTACCCGAGCGATGACACCGTCTCTCTGCGTCGCGTGCTCATCTTCACGCTTCTAGAGTCGTTGGAGTCATTGTTCCTGACGTTCTGGAGACATTAGAGTCATTGTTTCTGACATTCTCACAGTCGTTGAAGCTATTGTCTCTGACACTTTTTGGAGTCATTGTTTCTATCTCTATTAAAGTCATTGCAGTCAATGTTCCTCACGTTCTTGGAGTCATTGGAATCATTGATTCTGACGTTTCTAGAGCTCTTGGAGTCAGCGTTCCTGGGGTTCCCGGGGTTCCTGGGATTTCTGGGATTGCTGAAGGCACTGTTTTTGGTATTCCTAAAGTCATCGGTGTCATTGTTCCCGGTGTCGTTCTAGAATCGTTGGAGTTACTGTTCCTGGCATCTCTGAAAAATACGATCTGGATCAACAGTGATGTGCAAGTCGGTAATAACGTGATAAAAGTTGATGTTACGTTTTGTATGATATCAGGGAAGACTGTGGTCAAGACTGAAGGATCGGGTGTTTTAACGAGACTTGTTCATTGGTTCAAATTTGTGAGTTCTGAAGGTGGTCCAGGACGTTGATGTGCTTGAGTGTGATTGGATTATTCGTGGACACTTGTATGGTGATGTTTTGTTTGTTTATTATAGACTGAAATTGTATTTTGGAATATATGGAGAAATTTGACTGTTATCATCGAGATGGAGATGTTACCGATACAAAATAGACGGTGAATGTTTCCACGAAGAGTCTGTTGAGTATGGATAAGCTTTTGAGGATCGGTTAATCGGATATAAGAAGTTACACGAAATGGGAAGAAATTTGTGGCTAATGTTTCGATGATATTGAAAGAAGACGAGTTCAACGTGGAGGAATTATGTTACTAGTGTCAATTACTGTTACTGGGAAGGAAAGAATGTTTTAAGGAATTTCTCGAAGACTAAATTCTAAATTACAAAAATTTCACGTCCTTTTTGAGGCTTCATTTTATTTTTAATGAGAGATACTATTAAAAAGAGAAATAAGAAATTTAGTATAGAGAAGTATAGAGAACGATGGCTCTTCTATCGAATCACCACGAATATCCAATTCCTACCGAGGTGATAACGACCACGTATCCAACTACGACCAGGACTTACGACACCTTGTACCCCTCGCCGTACACTTCGCCTAATTATGACATCAAGGTTTCATACGGGGAGAGTTATGCGCATAAAGGTGAGATGACACCGCGGAAAGAAGCAGAGACGATTGATTATGGGGAAGAGGTTGTCGTTGAATATTCGAGAACACCAGACTCGTACGAAAGAAACTCCTTTAGCGTTATGACACCTGTAACGCCTCAAAGGTAAGTTCGTGTTACGATTTTCTAGCTTTGCAAATTTCTATTATGAGCTTCTTATAATGCATCTTCGCTGATTTACTGTTATCCATGATATCTTTGCTTGTATGGAATTTATGTTGTAGTTTTATATCGAGTAAATTAAGAAGTATGCGGTTATTTAAGTAGAATTTAATTGAAATTTACTAACCAAATTTTTGTTTTAATTTTAACTGAAATTTTACTTGGACGAAAAGTAAGTATATAATTATATGTAACATTATATAGTATATAATATTGTATCATAATTGGAATAAATATTAAAATCATTCTTAATATATTAATTAATATAATATATAAATAATATTACTATTTGTTCCAATTATTATTATATTATGCAATATAAGTGAATTCATCTTAAGCTTGCATGGCTATGTGGTTCTTAAATGTTTTATATATCGATGGCGAATTTGGATATTAATAGAAGTTTCAAAATTACATATCTTTCTGTTATAATTAGTCAACCACCCTGTACTTTCTTCAAAATTTCTTTTTTAGAGAAATTAAAAAAAAAGGGTACAGGTTCAGAATTTTTAAAAATGAAATATTCTTTAGTCCAAATTTAAATTACTATTTATATCCCTACTATAAGTCACAGAAAACATATCAAAATTCCATTACAATATATATGTTTTACATAATATCAATATAAACGCAAAGTTTGTAACACAAGGTATATAATCGAAATCACTATAATCGCAACATACGCCAGGAAAATGTACAGCAGCAGTTTCATTTTCTCGAGTAATACTTGTTAGACGTTAGTTATAGTTACAAAGGTTACTTCAAGTTTCACGAAATTTGGTACAATTTTGATAGGTACGAGCCACAGCATGTGATAAATCACACTGCTTCTCCAGGAACGATGCTACACGAAGACAATTCCGTGGAGTATCACTCGCCAGTCTACTGCTACGAGACCCCACCTCAAGAACAGAAGTTCCAAATTCTCCAGAGTGGAAAACCGATGCAAATGATCGTCGAGCAACGAAGGAATTGTTGGGAACCTGTTACATCTGCACAAGTAAATCACAATAGATGATCGTACTCCGTGACATTTACCAGTTTCTCACTTAAAAATTTCTTTTAGTAAAGAATGAAGTTTTAATAAAAGCAAATTAATATAAATTAGATCAGTTTCAATAATTGTAAAAGCTTAAGAAATATGTAATAACTTATTAAAAACTGAGATTTACGAATTGTTAAATTCAAAATATTGACAACACAAACGATGAGTTAAATTGTTTTCTTTAACTAATGAATTAAATTGACATTCTAAAGTAATAACATAGTGAAACTGCCTATAAATAATCCATTTACAATCGTACAAATTTCACGTTTGAAACATTGGATAAAACAAGCCACCAATCATACAAGTGATACTCGTTAATTTAATTACTTCATTTACAAAATATATTTCGAAAACGAAAGAACTTTAAGTATGTATATATAAATAAGAAAAATATATAACGTAAATAATAAAATGTCACGAATGAAAGATTTCTATCATCATCTCACTATACTATCTTACAGAAACAAGTGTCACCTACCAACAGTCCTCGAAGAGGAAGACGTCGCTCCAGAGACATACCGCCATCGCCAAGTGTACTAAAACGTCGACGCTTAGCCGCGAATGCACGTGAAAGACGTCGAATGAACGGTTTGAACGACGCTTTCGATAAGCTACGTGAAGTTGTACCGAGTCTCGGGGCAGACCACAAGCTTAGTAAGTTCGAGACGCTGCAGATGGCGCAGACGTACATCGCGGCGTTATGCGATCTGCTTGAGAGACATGATGGGAAGTGGCAGTAAACCGTACGTATGTAAACACGAAACGGAAAGAAGAATTCGAGTATGTAGATTGCCTGAAAATGATTTTAAGTTTAACTTTTAGAAAGAAATCGTTTTATTTAATAATTCTTTAATCAATAAGTCGTTCGATGCAATGTAAGTAAAGAGAAGTTAGGTTTATTATAATAATTGTTTTCTTGGGTTAATCAATAATTTGTGTTGGATTTTTGAAGTAAATAATATCCTTTTTTTATTATTATTGTAAAGTGTTGTCCTATTACTTATTAAATACTGATTAAATCATATATTAACTGGAATTATATGTTCTACAAGATTGCAAGATGTTATGAATCAAAATAATTAATGCGTTATTAGATAAAACTCTTTTTGTTTTAAAAAAATGATTATTATTTCGTATTAAAAGTATAAACATTACTTTTTAGTCAACCTAACAGTAAGAGGAGTTCAAATAAGAAATTTAACCTCCAGCTGCTGACATCTGGTGATGGCGGATCAAATCTCAACTTCGAATTGTTTCAAATATGGTTCAAAGCTTACAACTTTTGAAAGTTTTGATGATTCGAGACTCACAAAACTTTCAAGACTCATTAAAAGTTTTGAATTATATTTGATATAATTCGAATATTTCGTTATACGTGTAAATTTGAAGCGATTCGAAGCATTTCAAATCCTATCATTAATGGTACCCAATTTTTGATCATTCGTAAGGATACCGAGCATTAAAAAATACTATATTATTATATATTCAGGAAATTGTCATATTAACTGTTACATAGAAATAGATACGAGTTGATACAAAACTTATACAAGTTCACAAACAGATGTAAATTATACAAGGACATGGACCATCCAGAGTCAGTCAGACTATGCGTCAACAGCTTAGGATTGAAAGAGCGAATTCAGTGAATTTGATATTCGATTAGAAACTGACGATTCGAGTTATCGAAAGGGAAGGAGATTTCAAATTTGAATTTTAACGTGGTTTTATGGCTGACTGGCTCTTCGTCTTCATTTTTATGGAGTCGAAGAGGATCTGAAGGTTAAGTGAAACAAAAGGGAACGGTAAGTGGATTAGGGTTAGCGACCAAGTGCAGATAAGTAGCAGGTGATAGCAGATAAGCTGAGATAAGATGAAGACGTTTAGGTAAATAGAAGGCTTTGTTCGAACAGGTGATGAAAGTCGGTAAATTCAAAGGTTTGGGCAGGGTTGGTATAGGTTCAAACGTTATTATAAATATATACAAATATTTAATAATTATAATATAAAATAAAAAAAGGAGATATTGTATTAAGTTTATTAACGAATTATTGAAATAGAGTAATTAATCAAGAGATTATAATTAATTGTAGTAGAGTAATTAACTAAGAGATTATAATTAATCGTAATTGAGCTATAATTGAGCTACCTGTCAAATCGATTATTTCTACAAACGAAAAAGTAAAATTTTATTAGAAATATAAAAAGCATCAATTAAGTGTCTTAGTTTTGAAATTTTTTAAAATTAAAAAAATGGGATTAATCACTCTGACCTATAAATGACTACCTTATTAACTAGTATTGTAATACAATAAGTAATATACTATAGTAATATAATATAATAAGTAAATTTTTGATAATGTATTTAGATATTCAAGTCTGCCAATTTAAATCTTTTATGAGTGTGCATTGTGTGTATGTTGTGAACGAAAATTAAATTGTATGTATTTGTACCTCGTATCTTTAATTTATAAATTGTATATGATCAAAGACGGCTAATAATCCAAAGAAATGTTCAATAGGCTTAAACGTGCATTAAGCAATTAAATTATTATTAAATGAATGCGTATTAATGCACCCCATTTATTTGTCGACATTGAAGCATTTTAAGAAGCACTTAATATCACTGCTAATTTTTCTACTATAGAGTAGAAGAAATTTAATTTATTTTGTGTACATTTGATTATTATTTTAACGAATAAAATGCTTAATGAATATTAGAAATAATTCAAAAGATCGGTGCCATTGTTATTGTAATACTTAATATTTAAAAGTAGGTTTTGTACGTATTAAAAATATTATATTTATAATTATAAATTATAGAAAAATTGTAATAGAATTACCTGTCGACTAAGAAGCTTCGTAGAATAATATTTAATTAATAGCGTAGTATACTTTTTGCTATTTCAAATAGGTTATTAAATACGTTAATAATTCATACATTTATTGTATATTTATGTATTTATTGAGTAGCTAGTCAGGAATTATTTTGAAAGGCGATTTCAAAATTCATGAAGCTAGAAATTTTTCGAACCGTCCATTAAGAAAGTAAATAATACACAAAGCCAAAGAAGAGTTGTTTAGCATATCATAAAAATTTAAAGGTGTGAAATAACCTTAAGTGATAGTTTCTAGATTAAGTGATTTAAAAAATAGATCGTAAAATTTGTAGCAATATTGCGTAATAATAAAATAATTTGAAAAGACGAAAATTTGGAAAAATTTGTCAATGTAAAGTATTGTAAATAAAGTATCTAAATATCCAAGTGAAAAAGTATATTTCGTTTTCCTTCTGTAGTTGTACCGTGAAATCTTAAAAGAAAAATAGTTTTCATATTTTCCAATCTCGATATTGTATTAACTGCAAAGCCCAAGAAAGTTTCGAGTTTCGAGAATACCGAAATTTCACAGAGTTTCGGATTCGAGTTTCGAGATTTTGAAAAATTCAAAAATTTCACGTTTCAAATTCGAATTGCAAAAGTTTTCAAAATTCCCAAGTTTCGCAATATTTCAAATTCAAATTTCGAGAATTCAAAAATTAAGTTCAAATCCGCTTCTGAGAAGGTAAACTCGACACGTGGGTCTTCGAATTTAGTTCAGTTTTGATCGAAAAGGAGCGATGGTCGGTGGTCGAACGGAAAGAAGGGTACGACAGTGAACGGTAACCCTTTTCCATCCGGCAGATTGGCAAGATCGGATGGAAAACGTCTGTTTGGAGAAGCGTGGGCGGACAGCGGCACGTGCCGCACAATAGAGCTCGTTAGCGGTTTCGCATGATCTTCTTGTTTCTCTCTTTCATCAAGCGGAGATCCACCTTTCTGCAGTAAATAAGGATTCCTTCCAATCCCAGATGCCCGATAATTAGCGATCATTAATTACTCGGATGGACACATGCCGCGGTCGATATCCTGGATAAAGGCTAAAACGAGATCATGAGATTCCTGTCCCCTATATACGGGGTGTTCCAAAATTTTTCCACGTAAAGTTTCGTAGTAGAGTAAGAAGAGTACGGAAAACTGAGTTGGGATGTTAAACAGTGTTAAAAAAATTTCTGAGGAAATTAAACTTTTGTTTCGCGAGAGTAACGATATTCGAAGGTTTATAGAGAAATAATTTTATTTTCATTTACGCAGATAGCTTGCGAAGCATTTAATTTTATGTGATTTAAAGTGAAATGTAATTAGAGTATAACAGACCTGTAATGAGAATATCAAGAGTACTTACGAATTATATTTAATTATATCTAATTCTCCTTGCTACTTCTTAGGATTATATAGATTGATTAATTAATAATAATTATATTTCAAAATAATTTTTATAATATTGTAATATCGAAAAGTTTCTATAACTATTTTTATAAGTATCTCTGTATCGAATCTCTGTATCAACATGTTTATAACAATCGTCACAATAATTTCAATAATGATCTGAATATCGAATAATTTCTACAATAATATCACTAATAATTTCACCATCAGAAAATTTCTCTGATAATTTTCATAATAATTTTTCCTAACTATCTCTATATCGAATAATTTCTACGATAATTTCTACATCAAATCGATACTAATAATACGAGAAAGCAGAAGAAAATCGGGAGACCAGAGGTTAAGTGATGCAACAGAAAAATGGTACTTTTACCCATAATGTAAAAGCGGAGAAACACGTACATGGATCTTTCCTCCTGCCAATGAAGATTTCGTCGAGATTCGATGCTGTCAAACGGATAGTATGGACGTCGCGTGTAATCGAATTAGAAACGCGAAGAGCAAGAAAGGAGTACGGTAGAAAAATCTCTGGAAAAGACAACACGTCCCGCTATTAACCCCAACACCGAAGAACGTACACGTAAACTCTTCGAGGTGATATTGGACTAACGTTTGTCTTCAGTTTAACGGTACAACGACGGAAAGAAGGAAGAGCAGGGAATTCGTGAGACGAATGTGACCGAGTGCAGACCTCGAGTTTGGGCGTGACCAGAAATGGTCGAGTTTTCGAAAATGCTATTTCAGGTAAAATTCGTGCCGCTTGCGAGCTTTCACGCTGGTTTATCCGAAGGTAGAAAACAACGATTCTCGCACTTTTCGCTGATTTCTTGGTACGTTTCCCGAATCGAGTTCTCGGTTGATTTGTTATGCTTATCTTTTTCACATTTCTTTTTTTTTTTGATAGAATGATAGATTATTAGAAATATTTAATATTACTTTCTCTCTCTATTTATTTATTTTTACAATACAGTGCTTAATAATTAGGGTTTAATATTTAATATATAATATTCATTTGATACTTTTATTACGGATCAAATATTTTTATTACCATTAAAATATTCGTTAAAATAAATAAAAATTGTATATAAATGCTTGATTACCATGGAGAACAGAACACTTCTAAAAGATCCCGTACTCGGCATAGTTTAAAAAATTCGGGGAAGCAATTTGGTGAGATAGGGAAAGCTACGACGAAAGGGCGGTTTCAGGGTTAAACTCGTCGGTTCTCCAGCAAGAATTACACCCTTATTACAGCTACGCGTTGTTCGATAACGAGCCGTGGCCTGTGCTCCGGCTCCCAAAGGAAGGACAATTCGTTCCAGGCTGCGAGAGCGGACGAAGCGTCGAGGAGTTTGTGACACCTCGCTACCCTTATGGTGTCAAACTCAGCACCCTCCACGGAATTACGATTCCAACCACCTGACTCCGTGTCGAAAGATTTTGCCACCGCTCTCTACGGCTCGACCGCAAAACTC